GGGCATTTGAAAACTTCTTTAAACAGGCAATATGCATTAAGACCAAGCATATGACCATTACATTCATTAAAATAATGTTCAATGGGTACGGAAAATTAGGTTTTAGTATATTATAAACGGTGGGTTTTACTTGCTCTTTATTGCCGAACGTTCTCTCATACAATATGATTTAATTATACAAAGAAATCAACTGGCTGCTCTGGCACAATATCTTTTGCCTTCTGTAATTCATTCGAACGAGTTGTAGCAATTGTAATTACGGTTTTTAAAACTTCCTGAATATTTATTTATGTCTATTACTGATACCCTTAGGAGTGATTTCAGATTTATTTATCTACGAAAGGTGTGCTAAACACAGAATGATTTATTTTGCAGTTGAATTAAATGAGGAGTACATTTTACATCTTCTGATTGGTGACTTAAAATGGCAAAATATAAGATCAAAACAGACTGTCAAGAAGGTGAACCAAACTATATTTCCCCTGGCACTTAAAAATTTGCTGATTCTACAGAAAAGTCGAACCCACCTGCGCGCTGGCAACAACGAATATATGTAATGATTCTAAAGAAAAAGTGTGATAATAGGTGTTGCTGGCATTTCATCAGCTAGGATCCAACGCAAGTTAATCCAGGGACAGATCAATAAAACGTTGCACAGTGTAGTAGTCTACTCGTACGAGGCAATGTAACTCATGAAACTTGGTAACGAGAATTGCGATGATAATTCAGGACACCAAAAATGTCTATTTATATATTAGTTCCGCCTTCTGGAGAAACGTTTTTTCCTCAGTAATAAATGTACCTAAGCAGTTTTATTCAGGAACAGTTCACATCCCACAGAGACAACGCTAACAGGTAATGACTGTCTTGGACCATATTTGTACAACAATTTGCTGAAGTAGGCAAGAAGGGCAGGATTTATTGGTACCAAAAAATTTCGCGACGGCTCGTCAGATACGTTCTGTCGCTTCAGAAGAGAGATAACGATTGAGAAGAATTCAACAGATTTGAATTCGTGCGGAAAATCAATGCGGAAACAGCAAGGTCGGGATTTTGGGTAAAGCCGATTAATCAATAAAGTTAATAACTCAAACACCGTAGGCCAAGAAAGTGAAAAAGTGGGAACGTTAACGTGCAAAAATGAGAGGAGAAAGAGAGAATCGTGGAGCTAGAGGCTACCATGGCAATGTGAGGTTAACTACGTGTTCCAGTTGTTTACAAAGGTCTGGTTTCTGTCGTCCTATATTGGCCGCCTCCAGGCAACGCAATGTCCGAGTTGTTCGTGCCCGAACAAGTACTCGGAAGGATGTTTTGGGGTGACGGAGTAACCAATATCATTGGGCGCACGCAAAGGCAGTTGGTAGCCAGGTCTATTGAGCACCTGCCCAGGTGGCTCTTAGGACAAGAAAATAAAATCCCGCGTTCTTCCATTACGAAACACCTGCTTGATAGTGGTCATTCCGTCGCCCCAAAACTTCCTTCCGAGTACTTGTTCGGGCACGAACAACTCGGACATTGCGTTACCTGGAGGCGGCCTATATACGACGACTGAAACCAGATCTTTGTAAACAACTGGAACACGTAGTTAGCCTAACATTGACATGGTAGCCTCTAGCTCCACGATTCTCTCTTTCTCCTCTCATTTTTGCACTTTAACGTTCAACCTTTTTCACTTTCTTGGCCTATGGTGTTTGAGTTATTAACTTTATTGGTTAGTCAGCTTTACCCAAAACCCCGACCTTACTGTTTCCGCATAGATTTTCTGCACGAATTCAAATCTGTTGTATTCTTCTCACTCGTTATCTCTCTTATGAAACGACAGAACGTAGCTGACGAGCCGCCGCGAAATGTTTTGGTTTCAATAAATCCTGCCCTTCTTGCCTACTTCAGCTTCGTACCGGGGACAAAATGCTTCAAACAACAATTTGCATTTTTCTACCCGGGGTAGCAACCCAAATGTGTGAGCTTCACTAAACTAACTGACATACCGATTTTTAAATCCGCACTGATAAGATGATAAAAGATGTAAAAAAACATTAGTTTTGAAAATAAGGACGTTTTCCCGTTTTAAAAATCCAATCTTTAAAATTATATCACTTTTTGCCTAATAATAGCGATTGCAGACAGTCCCTTTTCGAAAGCGCTCACATTATATTGGCATTTAAAAAAATGCCCAGTTATAGTCGGCCACTTTTACTTTGATATCTGTGCGCTCTAGTTACGGCAGACTACCAACAATTTAAAATACATATGAGTATTTATACAGTCACACTACTGTGCATTCGTAATCACAGAACGGGTACAAAAATGAATTAAAATAACAAATACAGCTACAAAATAAAGGGCAAAGTAGGTTCTTTCGCGCATCGGTCGACTGTCCGAATTTTTTTTGATACGACTTAGAAAAATGTAAAAATCTGACATTCTTAAACGACAGACACTGTTTAGGTGGTCTTTAAAGGATTTACTTATTAGAAAAGATGTCTCCCTGACCTAGAGCACATCTATCTTGGACCTTCGATGTGGACGTCCATTCTTTCATTGATGGGCGTTTTATTTTGAGGTAGGTCTGCAGATATGTACAGAACAGCCACCTACATAAAAAGACCACCCAAGAATTTACCGACTCGGTAAATGGTTTCAATAATTACCTCATTTTGTAGGCTTCTTTGGGCACAAGCTACAAAATCTATTTTCTCCTGTAGTTGACTCAAAATGCTGAATAACACAAAGTATCAGCAAACATTCCAAGGACACCAGATAACTCAGCAGAACACTGTCACTAAAAACGACATAGTTTTTTGCCGATAGAATCTGTTATATTGACAACGATTTTTTAGCAATTTCCTCTGTGTTGGCAACGACGTCTTTGAAAATGCAAAAACGCATGTCTATACCGACTTCTCAAAGAAACGTGTTTAAGCATATAATTAAATAGTACGTACTTGCCCATGTGTCATGCTTAATGCTCATTTGAGGATGATGCTTACTTTATCTGACAGGCTTTTTGTTTCCATTGTATTTTTGCAAATGATATGCGATTACACGTATACTAGTGTCGTTACTTATTAACTTTGCTTTCTATTTATGCCCTTGAGACTGCATTTCAACTGATAGGAGTTTTTTTGTTTATTTAGGCCTTTGTTCTGGGCTACCGTTGGCCACGTAACCCATAAAAGCTCTCCACAATTACAGAGAAACTTTTATCTTCCGAAAGCCAATTTTTATGTATCGACATGATCTCCCAGGCAATACTGAATGGCTTGAAGATAAATGAAAAATCAAAAAATAAACAAATAAATATTAGGTTACTAAGAAGTACAGTCCGGTTAAGAAAACTTGAAATGTTCGAACTGCAAAAAACCACATCACGTGAACAAACTAAAGATTAAGGTTTACATAAAGTCTGATTATGCACTTTCTTAGGCAAGTTTGTGGTTTTGAATAATCAGAAAAGCAAAAACCTGTCCACATATGAGACAGCGCTGATTTCGTTTGCGGTTCGAGAACATTTTACTGGCAATATTTGTTTTAGAAAAATACTTCATATATGACAAGAGCTTATTCGGAACCCGTCAAACAAATATATAGATTTCACAATGATTTACATGTCCCGCAATAATTGTCTGGATTGCATCGTCAGGTTTCTTGAACTGAGTCATCTACTGTGTATTTGCTGCAGGGGAGAAGATATACTACTGTCATTTAGTTTTTCAAAGCATCTTCTTTTACTGTACGACGTGAAAGCAGCACTCGAGGAAAAACATTCTTCGGATAATCGATATTAAATACGGCCAGTTGGCTGATTTAAACAAATGACATTCACCAGAAAGCCTTCCATGTGCTTTACAGGCATCTGACTAACATAAGTTAAGGAAATACGACATTAAATGACATCAACGGACCTCCTACATGGGCCTTTCTACGGACCGTGCATAATTTGGAGCCGCTTGGACATAACAATATTAATATCTCTGATATCTGGAAGTTCAGCTCCCGCAATTGGGAATGTCCAACGTGTGTTGCGCTGAAGGATGGGCGTAGGAACGCTGATTTGCACGTGAATTAGTTTTTGATGATAGCAGACTGGCGCTGCATTTAGCACATTCCTACGTTTTACGCCAGAGTCCAGCGTCATAATAGAAACACGAAAACAGGAGGCAGGATTGGGCGCGGGCGACTGACACAACAAGTCTTCATTTACGTGGGTTATCCGATAACACAAAACAGAGCTTGCAATAGAACGGTCGGCGAATGTTGTTAAGAATCTAAAGAAAATATTCTAAATGTGCGTATATATTAAGGCAGGAAGATAGAATTTGGGACTTTCCTGTACAGAATAAAGACGGAACCTCGCAGATTGTGCACAAATTTGAGAAAACAATCTTAAATGATTAGCTGTTCACATGCAACTTCATTATCCGAATTCGGTGGCAATTTATTGTCCGTCACTTCATGAGATAATATTTCCTTACTTTAACCCAAGGTACCTAGTCAGTTTGCCTATTAGAGTCCAAAGATATGCGTAGATATAAATTTTGTCCAAAGACTCACTACATGCGGAATTATTGTGTGCTTCGTTCGGGAAATTTATTGATCTCCAACATTCAAAAACCGATGGAAAAGGGACACGATTTTATCTCCGTTTGATTTTAATGTGACCAATCAAAATTAGACTATTTTCATCGTGGGCACTTTTCTGACAGAAACTCACCTCGTGCCAATTATATTAGAGACATCGGCGACGCTAGTCTGAAGTAAAGAGTAAAATAATTTGAGAATTTCTGACAATTTCATCATTGAATTAGTGGGGTAATTTTCACTTCTCACCAAAATGGACAATTATCATAACCTGATAACTCCATCGGAACTTGTTATCCAATGAAATATTGGTGAACTTAAAGTAGCCAATGGGATATAAGATGTTCCCCTGATATAAGTAGGAAAACATCTGCATTTAAATGACCTTACAGTGTGGAAACAGAAAACCTGGTCGAAACATGGACGCGGTTTCCATCACCAAATACTCACTACGTTTGTGTTTCGGTAAGTTAACTTAGGGTAGGAATACTAGTAAACGCATAATAGCAACTACGGTGTCTTTCTCATTTTTTGTCCAGCTGGCGCAAAGTTTTGTTTTCCTTGGAAATTTCATCACAGTCATCACTCTTCGGATGTTTTTAAGTCAGTTTTAAGATTATGATTTGACTTTTATAATCTCTTTGCCTCAGAAGTTTAACTGAGTTTACTTATACCTTCGAAGACTGTAAAATGAGCTCGATCTTTTAGCATCGTCAAAATGTCTTGAATTAAAATTCTTTTTAACGCAGGGAATGAACATTGTGGTTTGTTCCTTTTAGGTTATCTTATCTGCTCATTCCTGTTGACTCATACCGAGGTAAGAATTTGTCAGAACAATAATTCTGAGTTTCTAATTGGATTTATACTATGATTGTTTACTGATTAGGGCAGATGAACCAACTGTTAGTGGTGAATAGCCTAATTAGCTATGATTGTATTCAAAACCATTTTCGTAGTAACGAAGATTACTAAGTATAAAATATTGTCTGTCATCCGTGGGTTACGACATGCACAAAGTAACCTTTGGTGTTATTAATTTAACAGTGAAACCTTTTTCCACTCTGACTATGCCAGAAACATTTTCGTAAATTTTCCGTTCAGAATTGTTATGATATTTCGGCCTTACAGTTGAAAACTTAAATCAACGACCGCGCTTTGTAGGCCCCCTGAAACGCTTTTTTGTATTTTTCACGCACTTTTTCGACAATCTGTCGCAATAATTGAGTGAACGTTATTATATTGAAGACGTAGAGCTCTCAGCATACTGTAAGTCCGCCGAAACAATGAAGTTTCGAAATAGTCCATTCTGTAAGGAGACAATCTAGCAACTTTATTCAAGCCGTCTTATTTGATGTTATCTGTCCGGCCGATTTAAACACAGAAATCATTCTCTAAAAAACATGCTTATTCTAGAAACGGCATGTGTGTGGAATGGTTTACTTCGCCTACTAACATCATTTTAGTATGACAGAAAGTTGTAGCCACATGCCAGGTTTACATGCGTTACAGGACCTTTTTAGGGGGGTTGATGATAAAAACTAAAAATCTGAAATTTCTCGCATCTAGTGTTAAATCAAGGATATTTAGACAAAATGTTGTGCTTTGCTATCTGTCTATTCAATAAAGAAGTGAACGGTAGGGCCAACGCCCTTATTCCAACTACCTCTGTTGATTGATAAATATTACAGTAACTAATTTGGGTTTAAAATTGGGATCAGTTTCGACGGTACTCGGCTACTCTGAGGTACACCAGTTAGTAGCATCATGCTCTTGATTTTCAATGTTCTTCTCAAAGCTTTTTAAAATTTTCGTCCAGTTGTATCGGTCTAGAACACTTACATAAGAAGTAAAATCCACGAATCATTTTCAATTTTGTTAAGATTTATTCTGGAAGAACTTTTTGTCGAAAGTAAAGAAAAGTATACGCTTAAAATTCTGAATTCAGGCGCGCTTCACTTCTGAAGATATAACCTAATTTATGAAATAAACTATTGGCTTTATTTTCAATTACCTTTACATTGAGAATAAGTACGAAAATATGCAGTCATTCGTCATTTTATTGGTACTCTTGTAAAAGCAGTCAAATAAAGGGCTCTACTCTCGTAGGTAATTGATTCTCGCGGTGTGATAGGCGTGGGTTAAAGGTAAATTTAGCGAATTTTACAAGTTACATAACGACAGGCAAGCCTGTGTTTTTTAAACAGCCATAATTGTATTTTGCTCCGAGCTGAAGGAGTCATCCATACTGTGTTATTCATAAATAAAAGTAAACACAATTAAGATGTGTTGGTAGATTTCAAATAATTCCCTGTGACCCAACTGTGAAAATCTCGGAGCCTCGGTGGCATACGAACGCACGACAGTAAAGGAGGCTTTAGTACAGTAAACGAGCAACGATGTCCCATCGAATGTTGTTGTTTATTGTAATTTTTCAACACTCTCGGTCTTTATTTTGAACTCTTGCAATTTACCTGCGATAAAGTGCACCTGTAACAAAAAATTATAAAAGTGACCTGTCACTTGCCGAGGTTGATCACTCATTGTATCTAGAATCCGTTGTCAAGCTGCACAGAAGACTTGTTATTCAGAATTAAGATCCTAGATTTTTTGCCACAAGCTACTTCTACTATTTTATGTTCGAAAAAACAAAACCTAACTGCTAGGGCAAAACGTTATATTAGAGTGGCTTTAAGCGTGATTGCTTAGTGCTAAAGTATATGTAAACAAAAGCAGATACAGCAGTCATATTTGCACCGACTTCTTAGATCAGGTATCACATATATAATGGGAATATATTAGACGATAATTGTATACTCCTCCAGGTTCAGTTAATTCTGGACTACTGCACGAGTCAGTTACCTCTGTCCCAGTAATAGTTTTGCTAAATTCTGCTAAAGGCTCTTGTTACAAAGCAATAATGATTCCCTTCATTCCCTTTTTTAAAGGCACTGGCAGTTGGACCACCATACTTACTGGACGACGAGCCAGCGGCGGATATGCCAGGGTTGACCAGTTACTTAGTGGAACATAAACGAAAACTGCCCTATCTCCTCGGTGGCATTCGCTACAAAAGGTCTCATGAGCGTGAATTCGGACCGAAAAGGGCGCTGGAATACCTCACTGGGGGTATACGGTACCGTCGATCTGGAGAGGAATAATTTGTTCTAGGCGGGAGGAGGGCATGCCTCGTCCAGCGTCATCAGAGAGTCACCAGCATCGAACCATAAATCTCACCAACCCACACACACACATCTTCACAGGAGCATTATCGTAGAGCTTCAATGTGAGAGCATTCAGCTGTTTTTTGATAATAAAGACACACAAGCAATTTTAAGATGTTTCCATGGGAGGGACATTATCCTTAAAATGGCACTATATATGGATGTTTACCGCTTGGGCATCCGCAAACCAGTCCTCTTTTTCGGAACCGGCATCAAAAAGTTATTAGATTTTCACAAAACTCGAAGTAGAAATGGCTCTTATCTCCGATGGGAATAATGTACTCGGACTGTTTTTCTTAATTAGAAGCGTTTTCCTTGTTTTTTTTTTAACTATGTCTTTGCAAGAAGGGTGCTAAATTTTCATAGTCTGCTGGAGAACATTTGGAAGTAACCCGTCTGGAAGCGTTAATGGAATTCACCAGGACAACATACCTCGTGTAGTGGCAAGCCCGAAGAGTAAAATGCCCAGACGGTTGTGCAAAAAAGTCCACTTAATTTGTCTATGCTGGCGAATTCCCTGCCGAGGCCAGGAAAACACTTCAAAACTGTCCGTTCAGTTTAGCAGAAATCAACAACCAGTCAATAGGCAAAGTTCAGATGAAAATGTTTGTTTTTGAAGTTGACTAATCTGTTGGTTTTGGAATTATTTCGACATTTAAGTCTACACAGTGACTTAAGTGCATGACAAATTTATCCGCGTGTACCGCCATCTATATATAGCGTTTATGTCTTGCCATTCGCCTTTCATAGAAACATTATCCTGTTGAATGTAGCTAAGACTGTAATTCCTCAATTTCACTAAAAATATAGTGAAACAATTATTTTAATTTTACATATGTATTGCATTACCAACCAAAATTCAAAATACTTAAAAAACACAAAACCTGATTTTTGGCGGATAGTCGAGGAATCCGTAACATGAACCGATGCGATGGCAAACTCCCAATTAAGTGAAATCAACGGAATTAATTGTTCTGTCTCCGGTACATAAGGCAGATAAACGTGATAAGCGATGTTTTAGCGGATTAAAAGGTAAAATACACTTTCATACATTTCAAAAAATCCAACGAGGTGGATAAGAGAATTTCGGGCAACGGAATTACAATAAAGAAATAAGGATGATAAGACGGCTTTTAGCATACGCGGAAACTACACCATTAATTAGTTGCAGCTGTGAAAATTGTTAATATTGATAAGCCTAAATTATGTGCTGTCTCAAGTAATATAATCATTTTTGTATGTATTAATTTGTGGATAATACAACAGGCTCAGCGATGTTTCTAGCATTGAAGTCAATGGTAAATATTTTTTACTTGAACGTCTCAAAATTATCTACCACATTTAAAACAGTTAATCTCCCAGAATCTCCTCTAGTTAATAAGCGAAGATTTTGTAGGCATAAATAGGCTTTATTATTATAAATTTAAAAAGGCAAAATCATTTTTAATTGTTTTTTTCAATTAAAAGGAGCCTGCCGTTATTCATTTATAGGCGTTTGTGTTTGATCTTATGCCGAAAAATTCTAAATGACAATAACTTTTAACTGGGTAGTAACTTTAAGTCAATAAGTTGATAATTGTCTAGGACATCAGATGCGTTTTACCTCTTCTGTCGTTTGCTGCGATTTTATGCCGTGTGAGCGATTTCCGATTAAAAAGGAACAAGGGTTCCTTATTTGTCCGAATTTTCTGACAAATGCTTCGCCTTTGGAAGACACATTAACTTCGTTTAACTACAAACTCGAAAGACCTTAAAAAATCCTGGCATAGCGCAGAAATTATTGTACCGAACAGAGGCATCAAAAGGATTCCTAATTTTGGCATTTTTTGGAATATAAGTTCTTTACTAACAAAATATCTTCCAGCCACTGTCCTGTGTTATATTGTCTTCTGTGTTCCTAAGACTATCTAATCTTGATACATTTATGTGACTATGCATTCTTTGTCATTTGAGTGATCACGTGAACGTACCCTGCATGTTATCCCAAAGAAACAAACGTATAAAGGACAAATTTATCGGAAATTTTAATGACGCCTTTGAAAGCAAGTAAAAGTGGAAAATACAGAAATTATCTGCTAATTATATCATTAAAATTGTTAACGTCGGTATTGAAAATTAACTTCAAACAACCTCAAGCGCTGTTTGTAAAAAACATATCCAGAGATGCCGATTTCAACTCATAAAGAACTTTTAATTGTTAGACGTCCCAAAATCTCACGTAAGAAAGAAGTAACTATTATAAAAGAAGAACGCAACATCTCCTAAACTCCTCAGGCATGGTTTGTTATGCGAACATGTCACTCCATTTAGGTGATCTGATTTCTAAATAATAATATCTCTAATCTATTTGAATGCTGCTTCCACTTCCTACGTTGGTAAAAACTACTTCGATTCCACATGGAAAATATGCCTTTAAATTAATAAATTTAGCTGACTTTCTCGAACTTCTGGTCGAAGCCACGAATTCTTTAAAAATGAAAAAATGTCTTGAAGGTTTGATGCGCTTTTCAAGAAAATGACTTTAACTGATATCAGAGTTTAACCTCATTACAGACGGCGAAAGGTGTCAAAATTTAAGAATGACTGCTAATCATTCGCAAGCCGATACCAATTCATTGACCCAATATCTATGTTCAATAAGTAGAAACCTTACGAGAATTATAAACATCAAAAAAATGTTAAGTGTAATGTCACGTTGTTTAGAAATACCAAGTTAGTTATAAAGGAAAACATCCCAAAAACGTCCAAAATGGTTGCAATTTTCACGCTTCGGATTTATATATAAAAATGTCCGTCCATGCAAAACACTAACAAAAATGATAGCAAAAATAGTAATATTAGTAATATTGTAAAATTGTCAAAATATCATTTGACAATCAGCGTAATTTCAAGTATGGTGATTTGTCAAAAGCTTTCATTCTGAGTGGAAATTTCGAATCGGTTTTCAAAGAAAGTGTAAAACTCTGCGCAATTGAATTGACTTGGACGTAGTTCAAAGAGTCAAACAGCATTTAATTTGACTGCGATTATAGTCAGCCGGTCGGTAAACAATAAACGTAAACAAGAATGACGTATGTAGTCGTAGTCATACCACTGTCTGCATATAAATGGGCCTTTAGTTTGCACTCTTCCTTTGTCCTGAATTATTCTGAGTTATGGATTGGCCTTGAAATGCCTCTGCACAATCCATGATTTTCATAGTTTCTAATCGATTGTTCATAAAGACAGATTTTTTATTAGGTATTTTTAAAATTTTTAAAATAAGGAATTGTTGAAGACACTGCCAGGGAACAAGTGTTTGGGCCTGCTTTTTCATGCCGGAAGTCGTTTAAAAACTCATTGTGAATAAAATGGACTTGCACAACAAGGGTCAGCAAACGAATATTACTTTAATCAATAAGAAAACATTCGCTAACAAGTTGTCTCTTAAGCAGTGCATTCCGTTGGTTGATGTTTGCATGCTTTGCATTTTTGGCACTTTCAGCCGTTAATTTCACGTTCCTCAAAAATACTGATATGTTTCTTTCGCAAACAGAAGAGCATGCAACTTTATTTTTATCGCGTTTGTTTTTGCTACTTTTATTTACTTTTAGACTCCGTTCCACGATTTTGAATGCACGGCAGTGGCTATATAAATACTGATATTCTTCTGAAAATCTTAGCCTTTTGGTAATCCCATTTTTAACTTACGTGCGTGCAGAAGCCGGACCACACAAAAGGTAGCATTCACTATGCTCACAACTAAAAATGACTGCATTTTCGATTTTATTACGGTCGCAAGCGTTCAATAAACCGAAGAAAGGACAACAGTATTCGAGGACTCGAAGAACAAACATTTGACAAAGTCTTAGACTAATCTCTGCGAGGAAAAAATTATGCGATATGAATCCACATATCCGTGCGGCTTTGGCAGAGATTCTATCTGCATAAGGTGATAAAGCAAGTTTATTTGTTTCACCTCAAACTAGGTGCTTTATGGTGAAGCATTCCTAGAGTGGGTTATTCTGAAATATTATGGGACCAAGAAGTTTGGCTGGACCAAAAGACATGAAAAATTACTTGGATGATAAAAACTCCATCTGCCATGTCGAACCCTATCTGCTTAGGCGTAGTAAATCGACATTAATGTTTTCAACAAAAACATTTGCGGTGTCCGTAGAATGCGAGTAAACACACTTGATGTCATCGGCATAAATAACAGTTTGCGAATTTCTGACTTCGGTCGAAATATCATTAATATAAAGAAGGAAGAGTAGCGAACCAGAACCGTATCTTGAAGTACGCTACTCCTGATCGAGTGAGGTGTTGAGTACCTATTACTGATCATGACTTTCTGATAGCGGTTGGACAGATAGAACCTGATGAAGTTAGGTTTAATAAAAGACGTCTGTGGGACCCTGTCAAAGCCTTTGTTCAGATCAAAGTAGATAACTACCACTGACTTCCGCTCATAAATAAGAGAAGTGATTAGAGTAAGAAATGCCAAGTGGCAAGTTTCGCAGGCTCGTTCAGGTAAAAATCCATGCTGAGTAGGGCTCAGAAGCCGATTAGATAGACATAAGTCAGGAATTTCATTGGAAATTATTCTTTCAAGGAGCTTTGCTAGAGACGGTATTTTGTGCACGCCACGATAGTTATTAACATCGGACAGAGATCCAGACTTGAAGACAGGCATGATGATTGACGTTTTTCATGTTTCAGAAAGGAATCCTTTTCAAATATAAACCGAGAATAAACGACTAAGCAATATGGGAAGGTCGAATGCATGTTTAATCAAAGAATTTTTAATCCCGTCAGTTCCTGAGCAGTGTGAGTTTTTCAAACGTTTTATGTGTTCGTTAATGGGATCTGAGGAAACATCGGTGTTCTATGTGAAACTGGACGAGAGAAAGGGACTCTTTCGGACTCAGTATTAAGGTGTTTTGTAAAGAAAGCAC